ACCAGGCGTTTTTACATAGTTGCTTATAGGGTGGTGTTTTCTCTCACCTTTCCTATATTTCTCTGTCACTGTACTGTTTCAATAGATTCCCTTGACATGCTTTATCCTCCTCTCTTTCTTTCTGACACATGCTCACGTGAAGGTCTCAGCAGAGACCTTCACAATGCTTTTCACATTTCGCAGTTTGTGTGTGCTACATAAGTATAGGTTACTAAACAAGGGGAGTCTCAGAAACAGCACTGTGATAATACAGGCAGTAAATCTTACAGAACTAGGCTGTAGTGGGAGGCAAATTACTAGAGTATGAATTGCACATGGTTCTGTGCATGTTTGTCTTTCTGTGTGTGTACATCAAGAAGAATGGATGGCCATACAGCTCTGTACACAAACTTTTTGTAACATGCCATGTAGGGCATATTTGTTTTTCTTTGATTTCTAAAGAGCTGATTTATTATTTTTTCTTTGTTGTAAAAAAAAAAAAAAAAAAAAAAATGTGAAAAGAAAAAAAAAGTAATATGTAAAAACTAAATGTGTTAGCAAAACAAAAGAAAGATGTGTGAAATTGATTAAATAATCATGATCAATATGATATCTGTAATATTAATATTTATGCATATATCAATATTTATGCAGTATTCATGTATTTGCTCACATAGATTAGTAAATGAAATGCTTAGAAAAAAAAAATTGTATTAGTCACATTTTGTAATAATCACATTTTCCGTTTGTTTTTACTGTGTTCTGTTGCAAACAAAATCATCAACAATATATTCCAAATATTCAATATATCGCTCATCCTTCATGCCAGCGTTGTGCTTAAAATGTTATATGATTTTAATGGCTATAATGACAGAGAGACTGAAACAGACAAGTGAAGAAATAAAGGGATCCCACCAGAAAAAGGTGACCCACTGAGGCGCCTCTCTTCACAGACTCCATTTACGATTATGACCTGTCCATGTTTATAGCCCTGCTCAAGATGGCTCTGCGATTGCCTTATCCTATAATAGGTGGGCTCTCTTATCTCAAACGAGTACTCAGAACCACATCAAACCACAGCCAGTCAATCACAGCACCTCCCCAAACAGCACGCTATAGACCTCTGATCTGGTATCACTGATTTATTTCTTCCAGCTGCTTAGACTATTGAATTTTGCATCAAACTTAACAAGCATCAGACCACCGTAGAGTGCCTAGAATCTTATAAATGACTACTGCTTCAAAAAGCTGTTCACGTCTTAACCACCTTCAGGCATTAGTTTGTTACCACAAAGTAAGCAAATAAAGCAATAAAGTGCATAGCTCATAGTGTTTAAGTAGCTCTTTAGACCATGCTGAAGTAGATTGAATGACAGTTTCCCATCTGCTTCATTGCTTTTTAAAATTGCATTGGTAATTTGGCAGTTTTCAGGAAGCTGAAGGTGTCAAGTGTGTTTAGACTGTGGTCTTAGTTCCCTGTGAAGATTGGAGGAAATGGTTTGTGAAAATTGAAGGATGCTGACCTTGAGCTGCAGTTGTGTCCCGTGCAGACTGCCCATTCTGTGGAACGCTGGCAGCGGACACAAAGAGGTCACTGATCCGCTAACCATCACAGATCAGCAGTCCTGTCAGTAATCATTGGGAATGTCATGGCTTTGCCTACTTTTGCAGAAAACTCACACACATCTCTTGCTTTGTTTCTACACACTAATACACACTAAATTCCTGGAAGTCCCAGGGAAATAGAGAAAAATAACATTTGCACAGCGACAGGCCTGATGGTTATATATGACATGTGATGATTGTTGTAAGTCAGAGTGTGCGCGCTTATTGTTTGTGCAGCCTTGTGCATGATTTATGATTTTTGTATGGCTCACAAATCAAGGCACAGTACATGCAGTCTTTATGTATGTGTGCCTAGTGTGAGTATCTGCATAATGAAATATTTGCTGCTTGTAATACATACCATCTTTTAATCAGCACATCCCATAAGTTGGTGCTTGAAGCTGCCTGCCTGCATTGGCAGTCCTACAGGAAAATTAGTAAAACCAACACTTGAGCTCACACGTGTTCTCAAACCAATGCAACATACCCCCCCCCACACACAGTTTACACATCAGCTCCCTTCCAACCTCCAAGTCAGCCACATCTGGCAGTACTTCAAGCAATGATTTTTGCTTCTGTGGATAATTTTAAGCATATTACAGTGAGCCAGTATATTCACTGAAAGCCAAAGTAGTAGGCTTACATTTTGTTATTGATTGAGGGATAAGAAGGAATGTTTCTTTTATATTATATATAGGGTTGCCATAAATACATGTGATACTGATGTTGTATCAAAACAATCGATCCTCGCATAAAATATATATATATATATATTTTTTTTAAGATTTATTTTTGGCGTTTTATACCTTTTATTTAGATAGGACAGTAGGTCGACAGGAAGTGAAGTGGGTGAGAGAGAGGGGGGGGGATCGGGAAAGGTCCACGAGCCGGGACTCGAACTCGGGACGCCCGAAGCGCAAAGGCGCTACATGTCAGCGCGCTGCCCACGAGGCCATCGGAGCCGACTCGCATAAAATATATTTAATAGTAATTTTCTTATTTATTGTGAAAATTAATGTGCAAAATAAACTTATTGGGGTAAAATGATCTGACAGCTGTCATTCAAACAGAGAGAGCTGATGTTGAAAGAGACAGAAACATCACTAAATTACAACATACACTATATAAAACACTCTATATTAAAGGCTTATAAACATGACATTATAATAGGTTTATGTGAAGATTGTTTTTAGTTCATTTAAATTAAAGGCTTATATTGTTAATGCTCTTTAACATATATGCCTATTATATGTTAACAAATGATGGCACAGATTTTACTGTAATGTTGAATGATATGATTACTTATTTTTTCATCTGTGATACTTGCCTTCATTCATAGTGCTTAGCAAAAAGATGCCGTTGAACAAATATTTGAAATATATTGTCTTTATATTGTTTCTATACATAAATCTACAGTGGATTTAGTGTGAAAATATATTTGTGATTACAAATTTTAATGTTAGGTGCAATTAATCACTAGTAATTACAGTTTTTTACTCTACAAGTACTGTATAATTCTTGTTTTTTGGTATTTTGTGGAATCAACCTACAAATGGCTTACTTTAACAATGAACAAAATTATACGCTTTACCTTGAAGAAAATTAATATTATGTTCAGCTTGAAAGGAATGAAGGGTGTGACAAGGTCAAGCTTTGTCCTTGAGATAAGGCTAGTGAAGGATCTTTGGTAATTAAGCACTGCTCAGAGCTCACTCACCACCTCTCTTTGTAGTCTTTGGAGGTGCTCAACCCATAACATACTGCCTCTGGGTTCCAGAGGAAGATAAGGGGCAGGGGAACATGGCCCCTATGATGTGCAAGTTGCTAAATCTCTAGGCTTGTTTCAGTGTAAGGTAGCTTGGCTGGGGAGATAGGGGAGACTTAGAAGAAATCTTCTTGTTCTGATGGGAGGCAAGGGCCTGGGATTTGCTCACCGTTCCAAAGAAGAATTTCACAGAATATCTCTTTCAGTCTGGTTTGTTGCAATTCAGGGACTGTTTGACATTTTCTGCTGTCTTTTGGTTGGTTTTCATGATTTTCACCTCTTACCTGTTTGACTGATATATATATATATATATATATATATATATAGCTAAGTCAAGTCAACATTTTTGTTTGTTTTTTTAAGTTTAAGATTTTAATCTAATATTTATTTTATTTCAATCAACGAAAATGGTTTTTAATAGTTTAGGTTAACTGTTTTATACTATTTTGATGGAGGAGTGTACTTTTTTTTGCAGATTTGTGTGTTTTTTTTTTTCTTTTCTTTTTTTTTTTCAAATCATTGAATAAATGTTGTTGTCAATGTGTGCATATTGTTGTCAATGTGCATATTTACATTTGTTAATGCACTTTCTTGGCCCTATTTTGAACAATCGATTTGGTGCACATTTTCCACATTTTCATCAGGATGTAATAACTTGTTTAGCCTCTAAAACAACTTATTTCTTTTTTTTTTCAGCTGTTGACACAAATACCTTCTGTCATCCAATCAGTTGCCGAAAGATTTATTTTTTCCTGGTCTGAATGTTGTCCTATTTTCCCTCGAATTACATAATATTATGGAAACAAAATTGGTTCGGAATGTTTCTGGTTTCATGTTACCTTTAAAATAAAAATAAAAATAAAAGTATGTTGTTTCAGCTGATTGATTTACTATAGGCGTATCGATTGCGGGAAAAAAAAAGCAGAATTAATATTTGGCATTCGAGAATAGCACACCCACCCAGACCAGGCACTGCATGTGTTAAATTGATGCACATGATAAAAGCCAAACGAGTGAACAGTGTTAAATCACTGTCCTCTCTGACTGATAAAGCTCTTATTGGTATCCCTCCCAGAGAGCTGACAACATCATCAATCCCTCTCCCTTCAGGCTCTTTTACCCAGCGACAAATTTACTGGACTTAAAGCAAAGCAGTCTTCAGCCACACACATACACAAACAAAAGTAAGGGTTTGTAAATTCACAGACGTGTACCTGGGCCTTTGTAATTGTTCCCACTGGAGCTGTGTGTTCAATTCATTCAAATTATCTTCCCAATTAAACTATAAATGCAACAAGAAGAAACGACAGAGACACGCGGTGCACTTAGTCTCATATCGCTTGCCGTTTGTTGTTTAAATCTGAAGCGTGGGGCTTTTACTGCTCATGTTTTTCTTTATTTCTGCATCAGAACAGTTGTTATCTAGTGCAAGTCTACCATTGTTTCTCAAATGATCTAATTTTGCCATGGCATCTCCTGCAGACTAGATTTAGTAGTCTGGTTTGTTTCACTGTTGTTGGAAAATAGTTATTCCGCCTTCCGAAAAAGCAGGTACATCCGAACTGACCTTTGAACTCAAATAGACCTCTTGTGTAAACATAGCCTTAATGTATATGCCCTTATACTTACCTTTCTCTCTTTTCTTCAACAGCAAAAAAGACATGTGCCACAACAGACTTTGCATGTAAGAATGGGCAGTGTCTCCCGGCCCGATGGAGGTGTGATGGAGAACCGGAGTGTCCAGATGGTTCGGATGAAGCAGACTCCACCTGCAGTGAGTATGAGTGAATGTATGAGTGTGTGTGCGTGTGTTTTATTCTGTTGGCTGATTCTGATCATTTTTGTCCAAATAAAAGCTTGAAAATCTATAGGCAAATTTCATTTGAAAGGTTATGTCACCATACCTTGATTATAACTTTAGTCCCATAGAATTTTTTTTATTTTTTTTATTTAATTTGATTACATTTTATTTAATTGTTAGAGTTACACTACCTTAAGTTTGGGTTCATTTTTTTCCAGTTTTGTTTAGCAAGGATGCATTAAATTGATCAAAATTGACAGTAAGTGCATTTATAATGTCATAAAAGATTTTAATAAATGCCATTCTTTTGAACTTTCTACTCGACAACAAATCTTGAAAAATTATATATTTCATGAAAAAAGCAGCATAGCTGTTTTCAACAATGATAATAAAACACACCAATTCAGCATATTAGAATGGTTTCTGAAGAATAATGTGACACTGAAAACTGGAGTAATGGCTAGTGAAAATTCAACGTCACAGGAATAAAATACCATTTAAAATATATTAAAATAATAAAACTGTTATTTTAAATTATAATAATATTTCACAATATTGCTGTTTTTTTTCTGCATATTTGATCAAATAAACAGCCTTGGTGAGCGTATGAGACTACTTAAAAAAAAAAATAATCTCACCTGAAACATTTTAATGGTAGTGTAAAGATAAATGTTAACTAATTAAATTACAGCAATGTTATATAGCCTTGAGGTATTTCTTCATTAATCAAGCATTGCATCAAGGTTTTCCAAGTATTTATTCAAGTAAACAGCCAACAATTAAAAAATTAAAAACAAATAAATAAATTAAGAGCAGCAAGTTGCTTTAATTTCTTGTTAATGTTGTTTGATTAATTTAAACAACATAATAAACAGCAGAGGGTCTATTAGCGTGCATTTATACTGCAAACCTCAGTGAACAGATCTGATATTTTGACACTTTGATTTAAATCAGAATGCTGTCTTGATAAAGTAGCAGGAAAATTCATCTTTATAGCAGTTAAAATGTGTGTTCGTAGGCAGATAATGCTTCTGCATCCATTATTGCTCATTTATTCCAAATTGGATTATTTTAATAACACCATTTGGAATTCACCCTATAGGGTTCTACTTTCAAAGGCTGTGTAAATGCTCAGATTACTGCATATTCATATATTTAGACAGTTTTCTCTGTAATAGTAAACCTATTTGTCATGAACATAAACTATGTTAGTGGAGTTTTGACTTTTATTTGCATGCATCCAGTTCTTTTTAGTTAGTTTTTCTATGAAAGATTGCCTGTGGCTTTATGGCATTCTCGGTAGTTGTTATTTTAAGCTGTGGACTGAGCCTTTCCCACTGGCCGTGTGATGTGATTTTGCCGTTGGCTGAATTAGGCTCCAGCTGCTGATTGGCAGCAGTAATGCTAATGCCTCTGGCATAATTCACTCTCTTGTGTACTAGTAATTGATATTGTCCACTCAAATCATGTGCAAATCACATTTTTACACATATTCCTTGTGCTCTGATTTGGTTGTTACTTCATTTCTGAGCCAGGAGCGGTTCTGTCTCACTTTCCTTTACTTTCTGACATCTGTAGGAAAGTGGAGCTTCCAGTTCAGTGATCACATGATCAAGTTGAAAACTTGATCAACTATGATTTGGGTGTGTTTTTTCTTCTGGCTACAGCATCCTAGCCAGGAAAGGATGAGGGAGACCTAGACTATGTTTGGAAATGTATACTTCCGTGCATCTTGCTTGTTAAAGGGGACCTATTATGCAAAATTCACTTTTGCATGGTGTTTGGACATAAATGTGTGTTGGCAGTGTGTGTACACAACCACCCTATAATGATAAAAATCCACCC